AAATCTTACTTCAGATTTAGCCGTCTTTTTAAGACGCTGGGATGGAATATGCTGCTTCTGCCATGTAATACAATGCCGTGTAAACTGGGCTCTTTCCCATAACGCAAGTCATGGGAATGTGACTCTGCTATATGCAAAGAACTTGACATTTCTGATACCAGCAGGGTCCATGGTACTTCAGATGATGTTCCTGAGTTACTGCCTCCTTCATCGAGAGCCTCAAGGCTTGTCAGTACTTCCCTCTGGTTTTTGCCGTTTGCATATTCCTTCAGATATTTGGATAAATTTCATTTGGATCTGCTCTCCACCCAGCTGATTTTGTTTGGTTGACTTCTTTGTCAAGGCCAGCTTGGGAGTAACTCAAAAGTAGGCACGTCAAAAGCTGTGACATGACCCTTCTGGCCGGGGAGGTTGTCCTCCAGTTCCCGTTCCCAAGCTCACTTGGCAAGCGGCACCGGCAATGCCCGGGAACGTCCAGTGGCTGTGGCTGGCAGCTGCTGCTCCACTGGCTCTGGTGGGCTGTTCCCGGCCGTTGGTTTTCCAGAGGAAGGGCTCTGGGTACCTGCTCCGGGTGGAATCGCAAGATCAGAGGTCTTGGTTTTATTTGTGGTTACTGTAGCTTGTGTTTCAATAGCAGGTTCTTGCTCAACCGTGCAGATGGTAGGCATCCACGGTGAGACAGCTTCATTTGACTGCTTCCCCCTTCCCACAGCATTGAAGAAAGCACAAACTAGTATCTGTTTTTTTTTTAAAAAAAAAAAAAAAAATCAAACAAAAATGTGACCAAAAAAAATAACCACAGACACTGGAAGTGTCTTCATGCTTGCTTTGTGCTCCTCTGAAGTGAAGCTCTTAAGTGTTTGTCAGCTGCCACAGGATTTTGTAAGTTTAACGTTTGTAAAAGGTGTTCTGCTCCGGTGAGCAGAAAAGCTCTAATTGCAAAGTGTTGATGTCCTAGTTCTTGAGATGTGCTTGCTAATCTGCTCTGTAATCACCTGCGGGCGTTTTATGCGTCGGCCTCAGCTTTTTGGCCTTCGGTTTCTTTTTGCCTTAGTCTTGAAACAAAATGTTTGCTTCATGGAGCGTGTGTCAGGCTGTGTGGACCGGGTTGGCTCTTGTGCAGCAGATGTATCCCAGTCTCCCCTGTTCTTACACCCTTATTTCTTGGCTGTGTGGGTTTTTTGGGGGGAGGTTGTTTGCTTGTATCTGATTCAGTAACATGTCCATGTTGTGAGTTAGCGTGGATTGCGTGCACCTCCTCATCTAGATTCTTCTGCACAAGCATCTCTGCATAGCCTGGTCTTTAGGTTGCGGGCTCCTGGGACTCAGGCTGGTAGTTTAGCTAATCCGGGGTCGGTACAGCACCCCTGTTTGCTTGGGTGCAGCATCAGGCGCACCGGGGAGATGGTGGCTTTTGTTCAGTAAGCGTTGTGCGAAGCAGCAGCGTGCCAGGCTTGCGAGGTACTTGCCCTGCTTCTGCGGGGAGATGCAGTGTTGCTGGAATCAGCAGGTTCTCTCTGGTTGCGGTTACACTTTGTGGCAACGGGAGATGGACTTTGACTTCTGTTATTCAACAACAAGATGGTGCCAGTAGCCAGTTTACTCTTAAAACTTCTGAGAGACCATACCCTGCATTACGTGAGTGCAGGGCGGGGAGCAAGGGGGATCCTCAGAGCACCTCTCCCCTTCTGCATGGGGTTGGAGGAAATCTTTAGAGGATGAAGTATAATGAAGCTCTAAAATTTCCCTGCAAACTGCATATCAAAAAAGACAAACAGGTTTAGACACTGAAACTGCAAAATCAGAGGAATGCCTCCCTGTTAGCTTTGGTGGGCTTATCTCCTGTTGCGTGCTTTGGCATTTTTTTTTGTTGGCACTAATCCTGGTATGAGGCATTCTTAGAAGAGAACATAGCTTCCCCTTGGGAGAAGGAACTTACCTAATTGCACAGGAATGGTTTCATTAGTAAAGTTTGTCACACAGAGCCAACGCTGTAGTTTTGCATGATAGTTTGGGGTTTTCTCTTTTCCTTACAATCCTCCTCCAACGCTTGCAAGCGCCTTCAGCGCTGCTTATGTGTCTGTATTTTCATGGGAAGAAATTACTGTAGTAATGTTCTGAGCAGTTAACCTGCTTAGGCTTTTATTTTGGAGTTTATAGTGATTTCATTCTGTAAGTTTTTTTTTTTCAGAAAATCAGCCTATTGGTGACTCTTGTTTCTACTCTTACTCAATTTCCTAAGAATTATCGTAAACAGTCACTTGAAATAGCAATTTTCCCTTGAGTCTCAGGCTGTTTATTTTGCGTTCTCAAATCAGTCCTGTGTTTACCTTGAAGATAGGATTTTTTGGTATTCATTGACAGGACTCTTTAAATTGTAGATGACTGGAGTAGACCATTTCTAGCTCTTCCTGAAATCTGAATGAATACCACAGAGGCATATATTTAATGCAAGAAATTTGCTTTTCTTTGCAGTAGTGGGTAAAGTGGTGGTGGAGGAATTTTCTTCCTCTTTACTCCACTAGCTTTTTTTCTCTTTTTTTTTTTTTTTAACCTTTTATTTCTTAGGGTTATGTAGAGCATTATATTCCAGTACAGCATTTAAGTGGGTTAAATGCAAGCAATTTGTATTTTTAAATAAAGCCTTGAAAAGTGATTTGGCTTGTCTTCAAAATGAATTGCATCTCCAGTTGCAGAAAAGACCCCGTCTAGTGTTAGTGTTGACATATTGCCAGTACAGAGCAGATTTCAAGGATTAGATTTTATTTATGTGCCTAAACTATTTTTTTTTTGTCTACATTTGACGATTCAGATCAAGGGGAGGAGAATCAAATGCCAATTTAACACTCTCATTAGAATATTTATCTCTCTGTATTTTCTTATAAATACTTGAAATATCTTCATTTGTAGGCAGATAGTATTATAATGCAAATAGCTGTTGAAGAGTCATCGAGTAACTTGTCAGTCACTTCTTTCCATGGGGTCCTTACCTGGAGTTCTTCCTGTCTCGAACTCCTGGTTTGAGACTGTAAATACGATCTTCTGACCTCCTTTTTGTCATCCCCTGTCAGAATCCCCTTCGGCTCTTCCCACGCCTCCCATGTCCCCTTCTCAGGTTGATGAAAGACAAATTCAGCTGTTCAGAGTCTGCCTTGGAAAGTGTAGGCTGCAGGAGGTAATGAACTAATTGTCTGACATTCATCTCTTTGATCTGTTAATAAGATTTTATGGATCGTCGTTGCTTTGGAATAGTAGATTTTGCAATTACTGGCAATTGGCCGCTGCCTCCCGTCGGTATTTTGGTGTGTTGTACAGTGTTGCTGTGCTTCCCTTCGGCTCGAGGAAGGATTGAAATAAACCTTTACATGGCGGATCAAAAGCAAACGGGGATTGTGCCTGTCTGTGTCAGAGCTAAATCTGCTGTGTGTCTTTTTCCATTACATGGCAACGCACAAATACCTGTGTGTATC